CCTAAAAACCCTAAGCGAGCTCGGGGCCTGCTCCGGGTCCTGAGACTCAGACAGGCTACGGACGTATATATAATGCGATCCAGGACCCTAGGTAAAAAATCGCTAGCATATCACCCGTTTCATCGCATGCTCTCGGCTTTCCTACACAGTCTGTAGTTCTTGCTACCGAACGCGACCGCGGCCTTTCACTAAGGAGAAGTGATGCTCAGCGAGCCAGTGCTTTTTCATCGTATCCTCGGAGCGGTAGACGTAAAGACAATCCGGCTCTTTAGTGCACCGAAGCCTATCGCGGTAAAGATATAAACCCTCGATCGGTTCATCAATCTCTCAGGGAAACTGCAGTAGCTATAAATCATATACGATTCTATACCACGTAGAAACGGTTTCCTGGATCTGCCGGCTGTGTGTAGCGCCGATATAGTAGTTACTATAGCGAAGGTGGCCGAGAATCCGATTCGGGCAAACAGCGAACTCGCACTGTCGGCACACAATCACCTAGTACTCAGGGAGCTAAAGAAATAGCTGCTCAGCGGTCGGGATAGACATAATTTCTAAATCGCTAAACATTAGTTAAGCGATAAAAACATAAGCAACTAACGTACCTAGTACAGGTAGTATCTAACTAGCTCAGGGAAGTAAATTAAGTAACAGTAGGAAGTAATAGAAATCGGAATAGATCGAAGCACGAAAAATTCGAATAGAATTAAAGATAGGGGATCGCTTTTAACCTAGACAATCCCCTAAATATTCAAAAATCTATCTATCGACTACTCGTAACTAACCGGGGTTGTTGCGATATATCGAATCGTATCTTCTAATCGAATTCCTTTAAGGCGGAACGCGCTCGCGCTCAGGAAACTCGAACGCGTCAGGAGTCTCGATATAAAACTAGCTTACTCGTATATATATATAATAAATAGCCTTGCCCTTGAGGAAAATAGAATAGACTCGGGCGGAAATAAATCAAACGGAATCTACTCTAGGAAAATCGAATGGGCTTATGCGTGGGAAATTAGATTGGACGCGGGAACTAATAAATCGAATAGACTCAGTTCCTAGGAACTAGAATAGGCTAGCGCCGAGTTAACTCGAATAGACTCCCCTGCCTAGGAAATTAAAATAGACTTAGGTACTAGTAAATCGAATAGACTAAGGTACAGGAAAATCGAATGAACTTTACTATACTAAAGAACTTTTTACCAGGACGACGGCGGTTCAATTAGTTCACATAATATCCTAGAGTCTAGCATAAACTATAGAAAAAGTCTAGTATTTATAATATCCCGGTCGGACTATTCGTATATAGGTCTCTGTAGGATATCTACATTGCTACATAGAGCCTTGTTATAGAGCCTTGTTATAGAGCCTCTGAAGTCTAAAATATATATTCTACCCTGTATGTAACTTGAAATCTACTGATATAATGTGTGCATTAACTTTAAACTTGTTTCCCTGCATTGATTAGCGAGTTCTATTGAATTACACCCCTTTTAAAACTAACTAGTTAGTATTTCTATCTTTTCTGGACAGTGATGCTAGCCAGAATTATATATTTCTACCGGTCGCATCTGAACGGACGGGTAGTCCCGCAACCGTACCACATCAAGAAATCCACCATTTTAAAAGCCTGACGACCACCTCAATTTACAGCTAATTCTTCTTTACTTACAAAATATTATACATAACTACTGTTTCTCCAAGTACCCTAAATTTGGAGTTCGTACTACCCCATAGGATAGAAAGAATGGGGGTGAACCCGAATCAAATCGAATGGACCTAAAACCGAAAAAGCGGGTCCATACAAACAAATCGAATCGACCCCCATTCGATTTACCCCCATGGGATAGGCTTTCAGTGCAAGATCTGTGATATGATCAAGCTTAGTTAGCGAACTATGCGTACCTATATCCGCCATGCACATAGCCTTAGTGGGGCTAGGGCCTAGGATCAGGAGGTTATTAACTGCCTAGTGCAGGCCCTAAAGGGATCCGCCTATCTCTTTAGCGTGACTAAGCCTACCCTACCCCTACCGGCCCTGCCTACTCGAAAGCGGTCTAGGGAGCTCTCCCTAGCTAGTGCTAGCCAGGCCCCTACCCCTCAGCGCCTTAGGGTAGTAGCCCAATCAACCCCTAATGACTCAGAAATTCGTGCTGCCTTCCTAGCGAGTTTCGGCACCTTCCGTCAATCCCTGAAGGAATCTAGGGTGATCAAAACCTCAGGTGAAACCTATGAAGCTAGGGGATTCTTCACAGAGAGTCAATACCCTACCTTCCTCTCTGGCCGGGATTCATCTGAACTAGAGGCCCTCTTTACCCTAGACAACACTAGTCATATGATCTGGCTTTCTGCTATCGTTTACCGCCTTCTCGTTCGAGGGGATACCTTGATTTCACGTACTACTATCCAATCGCTTAGTGCGTTGAATACCTTTAGCCAGGATCCGATCAATCAGGCCTCCCTTCGCCCTCTTCGCTCTCTCCAAAGCCAGCACTCCCTCCAGCGATATAGCCTAGTCTTTCAGGCCTTCCTGAATTTCCTGCTTACCTCATTCCGTTCCCTACAGGAGGAGGGGCCGGATAGCTATACTAGCCTCTATATCCTAGGGCCTAGCCAGCTATCTGCCCTAGAAGCCTTAGAGACCTTCCTATCTGGCCTTCCTGAGCCTGATCCTGCCCTAGTCAATAGGGTAGAAGCCGCCCGCCAGCCTGCCCGCCAACCTGCCCGCCAAGCTGCCTGCCAACCTGCCTGCCAACCTGCCTGCCCACCTGCCCCCGGCCCTGCCCGCTAACCTGCCCCCGGCCCTGATTTATCAGATTCTGATATTGATTCCGACGATGACGCTACCCCTGACCTGCCTCAGGGCACCTTCGAAAACGCCTATGTGGACCAGGGCGTTAGCTTAGTCTTGAAGCTAGCCCTTTCCCTTGTGCAGCATCAGATGATAGACCAAAGTGTTATGCCGCTATATGCCTTCCTTGCCTGCTTTAGCCGAAACTACGCCCGTGACTGCTTCAAACGCCTGGAAGAGATTAGCCATACCTACTCCGCAATCATCAAGTGCTACTAATTCATCATCCTCTATTGGCTGCATACTGAGCCCTTTGTTGATCCGAAGCCTAACGAATCTATAGCTGATTTCATCCGAAACTGGATGCGGCAGTACTTCACCGCCCAATCAGAGTCACCTTTAGGCTATGTGCTTGTGCTTAGGGGCCTAGCCTTTACTGTCATAAAGTCGTCAACCTCCCTTGGAAGGATCTATATCCTAGCACCCCATACCCTACGATACGCCCAAATCACTATTTCACAGCAAGACCTTAGAGTTTTTCTCACTAAGGCTATCTCCAATCTAGCCCTAGAGCTATCGAATGATCTTTTCCTAGATTTCGCCAATTTTCAACAGGTTAGTCTTACCCGATATATATATATCTCTCTATCCTACTGATATACTAACCTGAATATATATAGGTCTTGCCTACCCTGGATCTTCAGAAGGCTGCTCGCTGTGAGGATATAGGCAATATGACGAATCAATGGTCATGCCTATCCGCTTATCTAAACAGCGTGTCACCGGAATATCTGCTACAGAAGGCCCTACACTTCCCTGACTGGTCTACTCCTATCCTCGGCCAGGATAGCCGACCTACTATCGAAATCTCTAGGGCTAGGGCCCAAACCTACCTAGAGACTAGTAGTAGGTGGCTAAAGAAGCTTCTAGCCCTATGTCATATAACTAGTGGTGCCCCGGCTAGGGGTACAGAGATTAGCCAGGTGATATGGTATAACACCCAAATCAACCCTAGGAACCTCTTCCTAGACCCTGTGAATCATGTGTTCCTGATTCGTCTGGCGTATTCGAAGACCTTTAACCGGGATCGGCATGAAAAGGATGCTGTGAGGGCCCTTCCTCAATCACTCTCCTACCTACTATTAGGCTATCTAGCCTATATTAGGCCCTTTGAGGAGAGCCTGCTGATTTCGCTGAATAATCGGCAGCCTGAGGCCTACTTTCTGCTATTCTGGGATTATCGGACTGAACAGCCATTTTCGTCCAAAGTGCTGTCACGTACTATAAAGTCTCTCACTACTGAGCTACTTACTCAGCGCATCAGTATTCAGTCCTGGCGTCATATCGTGCAGGGGTTTATTCGTCACGGCTTAGGCCTAGCGGATACCCTGAGTGAGATAGAAGCTGATAGCCTTAATGATAAGGGCCTAGGGGCTGATCAGATGAATCACAGCAGGGCTACTGGCCTAGCTATCTACAGCAGGAGCGTGGCTACCTTCCAGGGGGTAAGGGCTGATATCCAGACTGCCCTAATCAGCTTTAGTCAGCGATAGCATAGCTATATCGGCCTATCACCTGATCAGCTAGTGCTAGCGTCACTCTTTTAGGACCGTTCCCTCTTGGTGCCCAAGGCAGAGGTTAATACAAGCGTACCTAAGCCCTCTGAGCCTATTACCCTACCACTAGCACGCCCGCTAGTGGAGTTTCGCTACCCTCTCTGTGCTAGGGCTACTGCACCTGCCTATAGGGTTTCCCTAGGGCAGTTCAATGAGTTTATGAGCCTAGCTGGGGTGCCTGAAGCAGCTAGCCCTAGCCCTAGCGAGACACATAACCAAGATAGTGGACCAGCAATCCGTTAGCTAGCCCTTTCACCCCTAGTGCCTAGCCAATTACACTCAGGGCTAGGGCTACTGACCTGCGTGCTAAAGGAGTTTCTGAATGATGAGGATGCTTCCTTCCGAAGTACTAAGCAGCAGGGGGCCTTCTATCTGATAATAAAGCAAATCCCCTACTTCTTCCTGATTCTGCTGACTGCTGCTGGCCAGACTACTCTATTCCTCCTAGGGGCTAGTCTCTTCCCTGATCAGGTGACTATATTAGTTATCCTGCTGATCTCTCTGAAACTTAATCTCCACGATAAAGCTAAGGCCTTAGGGCTACAGCCTACTGTGTAGGAACCCTATATAGGCTATCGAGAGCTTCCTCCCCAGAGTAGGATGATCCTGGTTCAAATCGAGCACGTGGTTCACCCGAAGTTCTATGAGATAGCTAAGCACCTAACTAGCCTGAAGCGATTATCCCGTGTGATATAGGATAAATATCACCTGATTCCCCTTAGTCAGAGCTATCGGCCAATTATGAGGCGTGCCTAGCATGCCCTAGCCATTATGGCCCCAATGGTCTTTGCCTCTGCTACCTTACCATCTCATCTCCAAAGGGAGCTTATTAATATACTTCAGCTGCCCGACCGCCTTTGCAAGACCTATAGGGCTGGCACTACCCTAAAGTATATAGCCTACCGGGTTCAATCGCTGCCTAAAAGCCTTCGTCAGCCTGACTATCCTAGCTATCTGATACAGTTCATCAAGCAATTCGAGAGCTCCTATAAGCCCTTCGGGCAGCGGGATAGGGCTCGGGTAATTATCTTCTGCCGCAGTAAGGCCCTGGTTGATAGCCTATTTGATGCCTTACAGCCTCACGCAGCTAAGTTTCATGCTGATCTAACGGATACAGAGAAGCTTAGCCAGCTAGGGCGCTTTCGGGGTGAAACCCTACTGCTATTAGCTACTAGTGGGATTAGTGCTGGTTACGATTTCCCTGATGTTGACTTGGTCATCCATTTCATACCTGGGGCCTATGAGATGACTAATTTTATGCAGGAATCAGGGCGGGCTGGTAGATCCCCTGATCGTCTAGCTTGGTCGTACTGCCTAGTGCAGCCCGGCCAGCTACAGCTACCAAGTGTGCAGAAAGAGGTGCCCCTAGAGCAGCTACATTTCAGCCAGTATCTGCTTGATCAGCTCTGCCGCCGGCGGGTGATATCCCGGGTCTATGATAGTGAGGCCCTAGAGTCGTGTGACCCTACCTGGAACCAATGTGATCTATGCGCTGACCGCCTGGCAAGCACATTGGCGGTGAGTATAGGCGTGCGGCAGCAAGACCGGGAGATTTCACAGAGTCTTGATTTCTTTGAGCGAGCAGTGAAGTATTGGACGGATGAGCGTTGTTTAATCTGTTTTATGAGATGGAATGGTAAGCTATAGCCCTAGACCCTGTACCCTATACCCTATAAGCGTCTGTGATTATACATACTGACTTATATATCTTATAGATTCTGTTGGGGTAGATAGGCAGCAGGCCTCAGCCCACTCCCTTACTACCTGTACGGCTCATCGGGCTAATAGGATAAGGGAAATGGCGAATAAGCTACGGGTCCGGCTAGACCCAGCAGATAATACCTGCTGCTTTACCTGCTTCCTGCCTACTAGGCTATGCAAGGGTGGATTGCTTACTGAGGGGTCTGGTTGCTTTTCAGCGGATCTGCTGACGATCTTTTGGAGCCTATGTAGGATGACTTGGATGGATAATGGTGATGAGATGGATATTCCCTTTCTAGATACTGATTTGGTGCCGAGGGGTTGGTTACTAAAGGATTTCGCGGATGCTAGGTGGGAGTTAGATACTGAGATGGTTCTGGCGGCCTGGGTGTTTTATAATTTTGCTAGGGGCTATTGGGCGAAGTATAGATACTAAGCTATATAGCTAGATAGTGCTATCATAGCTAATGTTAGCTATAGCCCAGCCTATAGTAGGCTAGGCCTTTAGTAGGGTGTGCCCCTTAGTAGATAGTAGGCCAGGCACCTAGGAGAGCGGGCACCTAGGAGAGCGGGCACCTAGGAGGGCGGGCACCTAGGAGAGCGGGCACCTAGGAGGGCGGGCACCTAGGAGGGCAGGCACCTAGGAGGTAGGGCCCTTAGTAGATTACTTAGTATAGTATAAGGGCCCCCGCTTAGCAGATAGTAGGCTAGCACTCTAGTAAGGTGCCCCTACTACTAGGCTGCCCCCGGTGCGAGGGTGCCCCCGCTACAAAACTGCTCCCGGTGGCAGGGTGCCCCCGCTGCTAGACTACGCTATCTACGAGACTGCCACCGGCCGCAGGGTGCCCCCTCTGCTAGACTGTGCTGTCTACTAGACTGCCCCCGGTGGGGAGGGTGCCCCCTCTGCTAGACTACATTATCTGCTAGACTGCCCCCGGTGGGAGGGTGCCCCCGCTGCTAGACTATGCTGTCTGCTAGACTGCCCCCGGTGGGAGGGTGCCCCCTCTACTAGACTACATTATCTACTAGACTGCCCCCGGTGGGAGGGTGCCCCCGCTGCTAGACTATACTGTCTACTAGACTGCCCCCGGTAGCAGGGAGCCCCCGGTGGTAGGGTGCCCCCTCTCCTAGACTGCCTACGGTGGCAGGATGCACCTCCTGCTAGACTACACTAGCTACGAGACTGCCACCGGCCGCAGGGTGCCCCCTTTGCTAGACTAGGCTATCTACTAGACTGCCACCGCTGGCTAGGTGCCCCTGCTTCTAGACTACCTTCAGTGGTAGGTTGCCCCCGCTACTAGACTGCCCCCGGCAACAGGGTACCCCCTCTGCTAGATTGCCCTCGGTGGTAGGGTGCCCCCGCTACAAAACTGCTACCGGTGGCAGGGTGCCCCCGCTGCTAGACTGCCCCCGGTAGCAGGGTGCACCCTCTACTAGACTACGCTATCTACTAGACTGCCCCCGGCAGCAGGGTGCCCCCTCTGCTAGACTACATTATCTACTAGACTACCCCCGGTAGGAGGGTGCCCCCGCTACTAGACTGCTCCTGGTGGCAGGGTGGCCCTCTAGTAAGGATAAAATACTAAATCCTTCGATTACTCAGGCACTACTAGGCCGACTAGGCTACTAATAGTATTAATATAATGCCCGAAGCGAGGGCTATCTAGCTATAATAATCCTGAT